AAATCAAAACTCTGCATCTCACCCAAGCTTCTCATTCCATTCCCATATTAAATTCTCATATTTGATTTACTCCATGTTATCATAAGAGAATTATATACCAAAATAGTTATGCATGCCTGGTATTAATAAGTGCTAAAATATAGGAATTCCTATAGCTCTTCTTACTGAGACTGGCAATTCTGAGGCATTCCTCAAAAGATACTGTTTTTTTTAAATTATTTTGAGAAATGCCTTAAAAACACACACACACGTCTGCACCTTACCTCACTCTCATGCCATTCTTGTATTTTCCCTAGTTTTCTCTTTTTCACTCATTCTCCATTCCCTGCCTTCTCTCCAAACTTTCTCCTATTACTCTGCCAGCACAATTTCACCCACTTCCTGGTTTGAAATCAGCTCATTTTCTGAGTAGATTGGTTTACCAGGAAAGCCTGTAGTTCTACATTCAACCTCTGTGGAGTCCCTGGAGTTCTCTGAGCTTGGCTGTTTTCTTGCAAACATTTCATTACCCTACTAGGTAACATCTTCAGTGAACATTTGCAAGAAAACAGCCAAGCTCAGAGAACTCCAGGGACTCCAGATTTCAACCCTGAACTACACATATTCTCTTCTATTGGTACATTCAATCTCATTTATATACTTGTTTTCTGTTTTTACTACTCAAGAACTTTTCTTCAGTACTTTTTGGGGATACTGTTTTGATTACCTTAATTCAGACATACATCTCCAAACTTTCCAGCTCCTCATTTTACATGCATTATTTTGAGATTCAGGTTCAAATGTTAACTTGGTGATTTAAATTATAAGGATAGAGTGAAATCTAGTTTAGTCCTCTTTAGATTATCTTACCTATGCATCTGAAAACACGTGCTTCTTCCCTAAGGATAAAAAAGTTGAACATAGTTTTGGAATCTGCTGCTAGCTTGTAGCCTTCTCTCTTCCACACATTTAATTCCAAACGGTCCTTGATTTCAAACTTGACAATACAGTAATTTGAAATACCAGAGAGAGGCTCACTTCCTATTAACAGATTAGCATGGCATATTCACTACTATATCTGATCCCCATAAAATGTTATTCAATATAAACTAAAAGAGGAATATACTAAAAAAACCACAACAACAACCTCAGATTTTGTCATTAGCTGAACGTTTATGCCCATGCTTTCCTCACAGAAATCCTTTCTTCACAATTTTTCCAGTTTCAGCCTTATTATTTGTGGGCAAAAAATACATGTCTTTGAACATTTAATTGCAGGCTGGGGAGAAGTTATAACTGACAGAAAATAATCTACAATAGACTGGCAGGATTATCTAACATTAAATGCACATACATTGAGGAGGGTGAAGGTTCTGAGAAAAAATAATACACAACATTATCCCAGCAATTTTTCTTCTATTCGTCAGGGAAAAGTAACCATGTGAGGGAAAGAGGAAAGCAAACGTTATCAAGGTGATTCTATCAATGCTGAGGAAGGCAAAAACGCCTTAAGCAGCTCCCTCTCCCCAAGCAAAATAATAAACCTCGTTACAATTCTCCTCCCGGCTCAAAAGCATCCGTCAATTTAACTCAGAAACCCTCTCCAAAGTCATTTTGGGCACAGAGTCGTTGCCTTAACTTTCTCAACGCTTTCAGCGGAATTCAGGCCTGAGGTACAAGAAGTTAACTACTTCTTTGCGGTGTGGCTTTTGGCTGTCTTGTGAATTAAGCTAACAATTCCATCAGTTTCCTCATACTCCAGTACAGTCCCCTCCACTCCACCCTACCTTCTAGCCCGAGTCCAATCGGTAAATTTACGAGGGAAGCCTAATCGGGCATCGCTTTCGCCGTTCGAGCCACCCTCTTCGAAGTCCGAGAAGAAACTACCCGTAAAGCCCAACTTCTCCTTCCTCATCCCAAAGGCGCACCAACGAAAAGCTGCGAAGCGGGGAAACCAAGGCACCCACCTGGCCCCCTTGGAAACAAACGCGCACGAGGCACTTCCTAGAGGTGGCCGGAGTAGAGCCACGCCCTCTTCCTCTTAATGATACCTTTTTTAAATAAAGGGGATTAGGACTACATGTACCAAGATGCAATGCAAAGTCTAGGCCTCCCCGAGTAAAGCGTGGAATGCCGGGAGTCTGGAAGAAAGCGTTCTATATAAATCCCTTGGGGGGTGGGTTATATTGAGAAGTATGTGACGCAAAGCGGTGATACAGACTTTTGCTTTCGTTTACGTGTCTTTTTCCTTCGTTATATAAATAGCACCATAAGTAGAGATTAAAGTGTACATGGTTTGTTTAAACATGGCTGTAGAACAACAATTGGCAAGGTCCACATCCCCGTAAGGTAAAACGAAGCAAACCACATTATGGCTTACCATGTGTAAAGTATTTGTCAAGCCGAAGTGTGATTTTGTTGAAGTAAACCCCACTGAACTTAATCATTCTCCCAGTCAGATACTCAATTTAGAGAAAGCTGCTTTAAAATCTATGGGACTTACTTTGGTATAGGAGATGGGAAATGTGAATGGAACTAGTGTGTCAAAATTTTTACAAAGTATGCGATCCTCAATATTTTTTCACCAATGACAAAGATATATAATTCTGTATTTTTAGGACTAGAGTGAGAGTACTGTACAGTTTAAGGGCTCTTTAAAAGACTTGTGGGATTCAATTCTCTTTTGATCCCTCTCCCACTTGCTTCTCATTGCATCCTACATCAATGCAATTTTATTTTGTTTTTATTCATTTAAATCAATGGTCTAAGAATTGGACATGAGTGGGAAAATCTGAAATAACTCTGTTATATTTTAACTGATTTGTTTTTCTGTCTTGAATGAAAAATGTTGACTCATCTGATTATTTCAAATATTCAATTATGATTGATTGATTATGTGCCATCAAGTCATTTTCCACATGGATAGATTTTCTCCATAATGAACTAATTCTTCTAGGGCTGCAAAAATTGGATGACCACTAGATAGCGCCAAAGATTTAGAGTTTTCTGTACCTCTTTGGCACTACCTTGTGGTCATTTTGATTTTGTGTCCTAGATACTATAGCCCTAATTGTACTAGTGTACAGTATTATGACAGCATTGCATGGGACCTTCTCCATTGCCTCCTCTCTTTAAAAAAATACTGCTTGGTAACTACGCTGTTAATCTGATTCTTAACCTTAAATTATCTTTATTTTATGGGTGCATGTCAAACCTAGAACGTTTCTCTAAAGGGAAACTAAATAGAAACCAAATAAATCCCTATAATTAATGTTATTACAAAGTACAATTCCTAGATGTTAAATGTTTACACTTAATTTTAATCCATAGCTCTCCAGATGTCCTTCTACTCTGAAAATCCTATCCTTCAACTTTTAGCTATGGTTCTGTTCTCATGGTTAACTTTTTTTATTTTTTGGTGCCTTCAAGTCAATGTTGACCCCTGGCGACTGCCTGGACAACTCCCTGCAGTTTTCTTGGGAAGATTTCAGAAGTGGTTTGTCATTGCCTCCTTCCTAGGTCTGAGAGAGAATGACTGGTCACCCAACTGGCTTTGTGCCTAAGACGGGACTAGAACTCATGGTCTCCCAGTTTCTAGCTAGGTGCCTTAACCACTACACCAAACTGGCACTCCTATTCATGGTTAACTCATTTATATTAGTGGATTTGCATAATGCTAAACTATAAAGAAGCCCACCTGTGCTGGGTTTGCCAGTACATTAAGCTAAAAAGTGGTTGATAGTTTGTAATTCAGACTGTTATGCAAATACAGCCCATATTAAACATCAAAACATATCTGAATATTAATTGCAAGGAAAACCTTTCTTTATTGGTATCCATAAATTATCATTCATATAATATGTATTTATGTCTTGCCAGTTCTTTTGAATGGAGTAGACAATGACCCATATGACAATCAAGAGAATAGAATCCTTTGAAATGGGTTGAATGTTTACAAAATGAGATGGTCCTCTAAAGAATAGTCAAAGATGGGGAAATTGTGAATAACATTAAAAAAAGGAAATTAGAATAGTTGGGTCACATGATAAACAATGAGGAATATCAACTATTTCAATTAATTATACAAGGAAAGATTCAAGAGAAATGCAGCACTGGATGACAATGTATACGGTATTTTGGATGAAAAATATACATGCATAGTTTGGCCAAAATGTAGCCTTTGTTTTGGACATTAATATCAAAAGACAAATAGCGTTGATGTTTGCCAACCTCCACTAGGAAAAGGGACTAAAAGAAGAAAAGTTAGTCTTAACTGGATTATTTTACAGGAAATTTTAATCTTTTGCACCCTCCCAGATCCCAATTATAAAATAATTAATTATTTGATTGATTGATAGATTGATTGATTGATACGGCCACCCATCTCAACTTCATGACTCTGGGTGAATGCAGATACTTCTCTATGCATGAATTTTAGTCTTTTTGAATTAAAAGTTGATTTATTTTTTAAAAAATTAACTGTCTCCACTGAAGCATATGAAGGATATAGTAGCTATTCTGCACATCCACTGTGGTGTTTATAGGGGGAAGAGGCAGAAAGGGAACAATATTAGTCCAAATTTTTAAGCACCAAGCAAGAGACTATCTGCCTAGCCAAAAATCTGTCTTTCTCATTTTTATGCATCTGCCTCAGAAATTAAAGTGATGCATTTTTGTAAAGAAATGGAGCTAAATACGATCTTCAACAGAGCTTGAAATTAAGTTTGTGCAAAGGACTGTAGATATCTGAGGAAGGTGACAGCTTCTGTCCCCAAATATAGCCTTCAAATATAATTTCCCTTGAATCAGATTGGAATTGGGTGAAAGAAGCAACAATAAAAATACCTTACTCTATTTAATCAGTTATACGCCAGCCCTGTACCCTCACTCCTCACTGTCAATTGCAAAAGGAGACAGGAATGCTGGGCTGAAAGCTGTTCTGCAATTTCTCATGCTGTTTCTTCTTCCTCTGCAAAAAAGGACTCTGTTTTTCTACTTTATTTTCAGAGTACCAAAGAATTTGCAAACTTTGTTCTGATGGTGAGTTCTTTGAGCTTACTTTACTCTTGCAAGTGGTAAAGTGTGTACCTGCTGGCTTTGGTTGCCCATCTCTCTGAGGCTTCTCCAGCTGCCCAAACTTCTCAGTCTAAGAAAGACCAGTGGAGGAGTTCCCATAAGATGCTTTCCATTGGGATTTAATCAAAGTGTGAGAAGCCGGGGAGACCACTGGAGAGATTAGGATACAAACTTTAAATACACCATCATTAGCCACATTACCAGTACAAGACCACCATCTTCCAATTTTGAAATTCTCTTCTCCTTTGAAAGAGATTCTAAAAGAGAATTATCTTTCGTCGAATTGAATGAAGGCTGGTAGAAAAACATCCAAGATCCTTTTCCACCATGGCACAAGCATAAAATGATATTTTGGTGGCTCTAACAATACAAAGGTGTGTGTCACGGCAGCAGTGGTGTCTGGGGAGACAAGGGGGAGGGTCAGACTGATATCAGCAGTGTTGTGGCATTGTATACGTGCACATCAAAAGGAATAGAGTTTGTGTGGTGATGATACAACACTGCTTTAGTCATTCTGACCAAAGCTGCAAGTTCCTCAAATGCTACTGTACAGACATGGGGATGGGAATTCAATTTCCATTCTCATTAGGCTGTTCTTCTCCACTGGACTTTTTTTTAAAGTGTTATCCCAACCATGTTTACCTGATCATGTTGATAACATTCTGACACATTTCTCTTATTCAGTGAATGTTCCCCATTTATATTCTCAGTAATATGCAGTGACAAAGGGAGAGTGTCTCCCCAAATATTAGATTTGATTTCAATACAGTCTTGGAAAACAATTTGCAGCCAGTGGATATACCGTCCCAGCCATTCTGACTTCAGAATCTGTCTTCAGTAAAACATAGGAATCAGATTCCATGGAGCAAAGCAGCAGCAACAAAAAGTGACTATAATACCTGTTTGGGTAGAAAGAAGTATTTTTTTCATTGCCAAAGAAGAATCCTCAACATCCTTTTCTATATTCTGGAATAATAAATGCTAATTATAATAAAGATGCTGAAGACACAACTGAGAGCTTACAACAGAAGCAAGATCTTTTTTTTCCTTTCACATCATAGATTTATTCCTAAACATAGATTTAAGAGTTAGAAAGGGCCACTTAGGTCATCAGGTCCAAGCTCCTGATGAGTGCAAGAATACAAATTAAAGTATCCTTGACAGATTGCTGACTGGCCTCAACTTGAACACTTCCATTGATGGGGAGTCTATTAATGGTTAATGGTTCTACCATTGTCATTGTTAGGAAGATTTTTCAATTCTTGTCTTTCTGTAATTTAAATCCACTATCCTATGTCCTGCACCTTGGGAGAATGGAGAAGTTCTGACTTCTTCTATGTCACATCCTTTCAGGTATTTGAAGAGTGCTATGATATTCCTCCTCAGTTTTCTCTTAAGGCTAAATACTCCCCGTTCCTTCCATCACTCTTCATGTAACAGTTTCTAGTTCTCATCTTCTGATCATTGTCCTTCTTGGAACCTGCTCCAGTATGGCTCAATCCTTCCTCAAATGTGATGCTCAGAATTGGACACAATAATTTATAATAAGAACACTGTTGCCAATTAATTGGATGTTTTGTAGATATGTAATCAAGTTGAAAAAAAATTACTCAAAACCACAGATATTCAGTGAACAGTTTGAGACATAAAAGCACAGAGTGCATGAACAATACCAGTGGAAGGGGGGAGGGATTTTAAAGCACTTTATTTGTGCCAGTCCCTAATCCAGCATCAATTTGCAGCTAATATTTGGCATTATGCTTCAGCCTGGGAGCTTAGAAATTCTGCAACATATATTGGCATCTGTGTGGAAGAGGACAACATCTGGGCATACAAAAACAAGCATATGGTAATATTCTCCATCTTCCCCAGTCAACAATGCCTTCTGGTAAAAGGAGCCCTTCATAAGCTAGCTTCACAGCTGCCTGTCAGTGACCTCTATTGACCTATTGCAGCTAAAGGCAGGCAGAAAGGGA